AAAAGGGAACAAAATGGTGCACAGCATGGTTTGGCGACCCCCATGAAATGGTCATTCGACCCCAAATGGGGTCCCAACCCACAGGTTGAGAACCACTGGTTTAGTCCATTTGGCTCCATTTTACAACCTTTCTCGCCACCGTTGTTAAATGAATCACTGCAGCTGTTAAGTTAATCACAATATTGTTAAGCGAATCTGGCTTTCCCCCATTGACTTCGCTGGTCAAAAGGTCACCGAAGGGGATGACATGATCCCAGGACGCTGCAACCGGGGTAAATATGAACCAGTTGCCAAGCATCCAATTTTTTAAATAAAATTTTTATTATTTTTTTCATATAATTCAATAATAATAATAGTAGTAGTAGTAGTAGTAATAAAGTTGGAAGGGACCTTGGAGGTCATCTAGTCCAACCCCCTGCTCAGGCAGGAAACCCTATACCATTTTGGACAAATGGCTGTCCAGTCTCCTCTTAAAAACTTCCAGTGTTGGAGCATTCATCGCTTCTGGAGGCAGGTTGTTCCACTGATTGTTTTCACTGTCAGGAAATTTCTCCATAGTTCTAGGTTGTGTCTCTCCTTGATTAGTTTCCATCCGTTGCTTCTTGTCCTGCCTTCAGGGGCTTTGGAGAATAGCTTGACTCCCTCTTCTTTGGGGCAGCCCCTGAGATCCTGGAAGGCTGCTATCATGTCCCCCCCTGGTCTTTCTCTTCATTAAACTAGACATTCCCAATTCCAGCAACCTTGTATATTTTAGCCTCCAGTCCCCTGATCATCTTTGTTGCTCTTCTCTGCACTCTTTCTAGAGTACTTTTTCAAGAAATGTGTTTTCTGAGTTTATCATTCAGTAATACAAATTTAATTCCTAATCCTTCATCCTTTTCTCCAGCCATTGATAAAATAAGCCTCACGTTTGACAGTATTCTGTTTCTTCTTTTTCTTTCAACCTCATAGTAAGTCTGTCCATTTCCGCACATTCCAGTATTTTTTAAATTGTTTCTTCCTTGGGTGATATTTCTTCATTGTTTCCAGTGTTGCGTGAATATGATTCTTGCCGCTGTTATCACATGTAAAATTAAGTTTGTACTTTGTTTATCGATCTTTTCTGGCATTATACGTAATAAAAAAAGTTCAGGTTTAAAATCTACATGTTTTCCCAATGTTTTTTCTAGCCAAGCATGTGTTTTTGTCCAATACCTCTTTGCTTTAACACATGTCCACCATACATGATAATAAGCATCCAAATTTTTAAATCACGTGACCATGGGAAGGCTGCAACAATCGTTAAAGGTGAAAAAACAATCATTAAGTCCATTTTTTCAGAGCCATTGTAACTTCAAACGGTCACTAAATGAACTGTTATAAGTTAAGGACTACCTGTAACAGCTCGGGACACACAGCAGTGGCATCAAACAGAAGGATTAGTCCTGTTGCTTTCAGTAGTTTGATGGCTGTGTTACTCCTCTTGACAGCTGCGCCGATCTCTAGATTTAGATTGCCTTTAAAGCTTTTTGTTACCTGCAACTTGAGATTTCAAGATTGAAATTTGCAGCAGCCCAAAGAATGGAAAGCAAATGTCTGGGTCCATAAAGGTCTTCACCTGCTCCCTCCGGATGTTATTAATCCTCCGGGAGATGAGAGTGATTGATAGGCTGTCTAATAAATACAGCCAAAGGAGCAGCTTAACTCCTGACCCCCAACCCCTGTTTCATATTCCTCCTCTGCTCGTTCTCCAGCTTTTTTTAAAAAAAAAAAACTTGCTCCCAGTAGGATGCTGGAACATGGGTTAAACCAGGGGTCCCCAACCCCCAGTCTGTGGACCGGTACCACGCCACAGCATGCCAGCAACTGGTCCGCACAAACAAAGCCCCATCCGTGGGATGCAGGCAGCACACAAAACCACACACACACCCTGGTCCCTGGAAAAACCTCTCTCCACCGAACTGGTCCCTGGTGCCCAAAAGGTTGGAGACCTCTGGGGGAAGCCTTAGCTGGGAAGGAAATAATTTGGCAGATTTAGATTTGCAAGGAAGTTAAAAGTTAACCTTTAACCTCAGAAGGTTAAAAGGTGGTCTTCAAGTGGAGGGACCTGGAGTTGACTACCTGGAGGTGCCTGCAAGTGGGCAGGACCGCTTTCAAGATCAGCGAAGGTTGGCTAGATGCCTCCACCACCTTCTGTGAAGCTGAGAGAAGCAGCGATGCGATGTCCCTCAAGAATGGACGGCGTGATAAACACCCCAAGAGGAGAAGTCAGCAGTACAATGGAGTCCTTGACGCACGGCGATAATTGACTCCGAAATTTCCGTTGCTAAGTGAGACAGTGGTTACGACCTTTCTTCCCACAGATGTTACATGAACCACGGCAGTGGTTACCGTGTTTCCCAGGAAAATAAGACCGGGTCTTGTATTAAATTTTGTTCCAAAAGACGCATCAGGGCTTATTTTCCGGTTAGGTCTTATATTCAGGGAAATACGGTACTAAATGCGTCCGTCTGGCTGACGATCTTAACTGGGGCTTATTTTGGGGGTGGGGCTTATATTACGAGCATCCTGAAAAAATCAAGCTAGGGCTTATTTTCCAGTTAGGGGAAAACACGGAAGGTTAGTAACACGTTTAAGTGAATCTGGTTCCTCCCATTGACTTTGCTTGTCAGAAGTTCGTAAAAGGTGATCCCGTGGCCCCGGGACACTGCAACCGTCACAAGTACAAGCCAGTTGCCAAGAGTCCAAGTTTTGATCACGTGACCCTGGGGAACGCTGCCAAGTGTGAAAGAACGGCCATTTCCCCTGCCGTTTTGACTTCAGACAGTCACTAAATGAAAGGCTGTAACTCAAAGGACTACTTGCAATGCAAGTAATGTTAGCTAACGGCAAAACTGCATCTAATAATTCAGCTCCCGTGACTAGCGAAGGGTGGGAGGATGCCTGCTGCACAAGGAGTACAGCAAAGAGAAACAAAGAGTGTGAACCGCTTTGTGTGTCATGTTTTCTTTACACGTTAAATTAACACAGCAAAACGTGGCAAGTTTAAATAAGCCAACCACTGTGTCACAAGCAGCAGCAAAGCTCAGACGTAATTGGGCGACGCAGGCGGGAGGGAAAAGGTTTTATTAGCTATAAAGATAATTTTCCAATTTCAGTTTTCCAACCTCTGATTCCCACACAAACGCCTTCGCTGGCTAATTTACCCGATCAGAATTTGGGCGCTTGGCAACTGACTCACATTTACGACGGTTGCAGCGTCCTGGTGGGGGGGGGTCACGTGATCCTCTTTTGCGACCTCCTGACAAGCAAAATCAATGGGGGGAAGCCGGATTCACTTAACAACCGTGTTACCAACTTACCAACTGCAGGGGTTCACTTAACAATTGTCACAATGGAAGTTGTGCAATTGGGCAAAACTCAGTCAACCACGGTCGGGACAACGTACGCATTGGGCTCCATTGTGGTCGTATGTTGAGGACTGCCTGTACCAAGTATTTTGTACTTCTTTCTTATTTTCCTGGCTCTGTTTTTTTTTTTTTTCCCCAGAATGTGTTTTGAAAGGAAGGAGGGAAGCATTGAGGTTGCGAGACAGGTAAAGGGGGGGGGCTGTTCAGGCTCCTGCTGTGGGACTGGAGTGATTCCACCCCCCCACGTCTGCCGCAGGATCCATCTTCCTGTCAAAAAGAGGCATTCAAGCCAAGAATACCCCCTAAAAGTTGTGTGAATTTTTTTTCCAATTCTGGGTTGCACTAAAAAGGAAGAAGCGGGAGGCAGATTGTTGAAAGAAAAATAACTTTTCCTGGATGGAGGTAGAAGATGGTAACTAAGCTGGTGTCTGATGTCTATGATGATGATGATAGTAATAATAAGAATAATGTTAATCATCAAATGACTCTGTTTTTTTACAACATATTACAGATTATAACCTGTAAACTGCTCAGAATCACCTTAACAGAATAACAGAATGACAAAGCTGGAAGGGACCTTGGAGGTCATCTAGTCCAACCCCCTGCTCAGGCAGGAAACACTATCCCATTTCAGACAAATGGCTGTCCAGTCTCTTCTTAAAAACCTCCAATGTTGGAGCATTCATTTGCTTCTGGAGGCAGGTCATCCCACTGACTAATTGTTCTCGTGATCAGGAAATTTCTCCTTAGTTCTAGGTTGCTTCTCTCCTTGATGAGTTTCCATCTGTTTTGCTTCTTGTCCTGTCTTCAGCTGCTCTGGAGAATAGCTTGACTCCTTCTTCTTTGGGGTAGCCCCTGAGATACTGGAAGACTGCTATCCTGTCCCCCCTCGTCCTTCTCTTCATTAAACTAGACATCCCCAATTCCAGCAGCCGTTCTTTAAATGTTTTAGCCTCCAGTCCCCTGATCATCTTAGAAAACAGCCGTTTCAGAGAGCAGATGTGGCAATAAACGTCTTTTCCCACTCCCCAGAAATTAAAGTTGGCCTTTGGGAACTCCGCTCGTTACTGACTTGATGCGCCGATAGGGAGTCCTCGCTTTACAGCCGTTCGTTTAGCGATGGTTCAAAGTCACATTGGCCCTGAAAAAAGGGACTTGGGACTATTTTTCACACTTCGCGACTGTTGCAGTCTCCCCATGATAAACGTGATCAAAATTCAGGCACTTGGCAACTGGGGTGTATTTATGAGGGTTGCACTGTCCCCAGTGTGTGTGTGTATGTGTGTGTGTGTGTGTGTGTGTGTGAGAGAGAGAGAGAGAGAGAGAGAGAGAGAGGAGAGGTGATCCCCTTTTGTGACTTTCTGACACGCAAAGTGAATTGGGGAAGCCGGATTTCCTTGAACGACCGTCTTTGCTAACTTAACAACTGCAGGGATTCACTTAATAACGGTGGCAAGAAATGTCGTCAAATGGGACAAAACGCACTTAACAGATGTTTCGCTTAGCCACGGAACTTGGCTAAGGGCCGCTTTCGATGACCCGAGTGAAGGGATTTTCCATTTTCAAGCCCCTCGTGGTTTATTTATTTATTTATTTATTTTCCTCCCGCAGATCATCCAAGCCTTTCGAACCCCTCCAGACTCCGGACGCCTCCCCCTCCTCTTTCTCACGCCCACACGCCAAACCAGCACCACGCGGCATCCATCAACTCTTTAAATCGGGGGAACTTCACACCACGCAGTAATCCCAGCCCTGCTCCCACAGACCACTCGCTCTCCGGAGAGACACAGGCAGGGAACCAAGAATCTACGCACGCTCAGGACAACTGGTTACTAAACAGTAACATCCCCCTGGAGACAAGGTAAAGCCTTATTTTTGCTTGCCCCCCCCCCGCGCCTTCCTGGGATAAAATATTATATTTGTGCAGGTATATCTTCACGAGTGTAATTAAAAAAGCTTGGAAGGACATCATGAGGAATTGGGTTCCTCCAGAGCAGTGTTTCCCAAACTTGACCATTTTAAGGCATGTGGACTTCAACTCCCAGAATTCCACAGCCAGCGTTGCTGGCTGTGGAATTCTGGGAGTTGAAGTCCTCATGCCTTAAAATGGTCACGTTTGGGAAACACTGCTCCAGAGATAGGAGAGATGTGGACCAATGTTATTATAACCACTAGTATCCTGTGCCCTATACAATTCCTTATCCATAATTCCTTTGGCACTGCCTTTTTTTTTTTTTTTTTCATTTTTCTGAAGTTCTGATTTTTCCCTGGTTGAATTTCTGGAACACAGGCAGCCCTCCTTTTGCCACAGTTCGTGTAGTGACCATTCAAAGTCACAACGGCGCTGTAAAAAGTGACTTAGGGACTGTTTTTCACACTTACGACGGTGGCAGCGTCCCCACGGTCACGCGATCAAAATTGAGACGCTTGGCAACTGACTTGTATTTATGACGGTTGCTGCATCCTGGGATCATGAGATCCTCTTTTGCGATCTTCTTCTGACAAGCACAATGGGGAAGCCAGATTCGCTTAACGACTGCGTCACTAACTTAACGGCACTTAGCAACTGTGGAAAGAGAGGTCGTAAAATGGAGCACAACTCACTTAGCGCTAGCCACAGAAATTTTGGGCAGTTCAGTTGTGGACGAAAGGTGGGGGAAGTACATGTAGGATCAAAATAATCAAAATAATACAGACAAACTCCTTGCAGCTGCTCATAGCCATGATTGTTAGAATCCTATGAACCTGATTTATTGAAAGGAGAAAAGAGATTAGCTTACATAATTCTGAAAATTAACTAGTTGCACTTTAGCTTCCTGTTTCTTAATACATTCCTGAGATCTCCTGAGCTATCTAATAGGAAGTAGCTCCAATGATTCATAGCTACGCATTCCACTGCCAGCCAAATTCCAATAGCAATAGCACTTACGACTTACATACCGCTTCACAGTGCTTTACAGCCCTCTCTAAGCGGTTTACAGAGTCAGCATGTTGGCCCCAATAATCTGGGTCCTCATTGGAAGGAAGGAAGGAAGGAAGGAAGGAAGGAAGGAAGGAAGGAAAGAAAGAAAGAAAGAAAGAAAGAAAGAAAGAAAGAAAGAAAGAAAGAAAGAAAGAAAGAGAGCAATAGCACTTATATCCTGCTTCACAGTGCTTTACAGCTGTCTCTCTCTCTAAGCAGTTTACAAAATCAGCATATTTGCCCCCAACAATCTGGGTCATAATTTTACCAAACGGAAGGAAGGAAGGAAGGAAGGAAGGAAGGAAGGAAGGAGGGAGAAAGAAAAAAGAAAGAAAAAAGATAGATAGATAGATAGATAGATAGATAGATAGATAGATAGATAGATAGAAATAGCAATAGCACTTATATCCTGCTTCACAATGCTTTACAGCTCTCTCTCTCTCTCTAAACAGTTTATAGAATCAAAATATTTGCCCCCAACAATCTGGGTCATCATTTTACCAAACTAAAGGAAGGAAGGAAGGAAGGAAGGAAGGAAGGAAGGAAGGAAGGAAGGAAGGAAGGAAGGAAGGAAGGAAGGAAGGAAGGAAGGAGGGAGGGAGGGAGGGAGAAAAAGAAAGAAAGAAATAGCAATAGCACTTATATACCACTCCATGATGCTTTACAGCCCTCTCTAAGTGATTTACAGAGTCAGCATGTCACCCCCCCCCAACAATCTGGGTCCTCATTTTACCGACCTTGGAAGGATGGGAGGCTGAGTCCACCTTGAGCTGGTCAGGATGTACTAAATGCATCTGTCTGGCTGACGATCTTGACTGGGGCTTATTTTTGGGGTGGGGCTTATATTACGAGCGTCCTGAAAAAAATCACGCTAGGGCTTATTTTCCTGTTAGGTCTTATTTTGGGGGAAAATATGGTATATTTATGACGGTCGCAGTGTCCTGAGGTCACGTGATCCCCTTTTGGGACCTTCCGAGAAACAACGTCGATGGGGAAGCCAGGTTGACTTAACAACCTTGTTACTAACTGAACACCCACAATGATTGAGTTAACCACTGCGGCAAAAAAGCTCCTACAGTGGATCAAAAGTCACTTCACAACTGTCTCGTTTAACAACAAAAATTGGGGGCTGAACTATGACCGTAAGTGGCGCACCTACCTGTAGCTCAGTGGTTCTCAACCTTTTTAATGCCGCGACTCCCCCAACCGGTCATAAGTCGAGAACTAAACCGGTCGTAAGTCAAGGACTACCCAACTGGTCGTAAGTCGAGGACTTTCCCTGCCCGGGAGCGCTGCACATGCGTGGTGCCGCCCCCTCTGCTGGCCGAGGCGTAGCTGGCAAGCGGCAGAGACGGAGCAGGCCGACCACTGGCTGGGCCACCAGCTGGCCCAGCCCAAGGGAGGTAAGGCACCCGCCGGAAAAGGGGAAAAAAATGGCGGACAGCCTTGCTTGGCGACCCCCGTGAAATGGTCGATCGACCCCAAATGGGGTCGCGACCCATAGGTGGAGAACCGCTGCTGTAGCTTATTCCCAACCAGTTTCTACCACCGGACAGTGAGAAACAGGGGGAAAAGTTGTGTCCCTCAGCTTTAAAATAGCGTTGACGTTAGCAGCCGCTTGTAAGGCTATTTTGCCCCTCTGAAATGGGCACGTGTCAAATAAATGTAAAAGGAGCGTCCAGCCGCCGATGTTCATTTGTGTAGCTCCGTTCCCCCAGAGTGGAATAAATCAATATCCTATTTAAGAAAGTGAAATCAGTCGATATATTGAAGAGATTTACTTTCCGAGCAGGGCTGATGGTAGGGGTTGTGTAATTGTAGCCGACTGCACAGCCAAACCTGATCTTGTTAAGACCTGATAGGAGCAAGGTTGCTGGCTGCGTTTTGCTCTTATTAAAATATTGCTCTAGCAAGCCAGGCGTTCTGCAGAGTAGGGCATCAATCAATTAGTGGTGTTTCTTGCCTCCCCGGAGTTTCTCGGCCACATCACTCTTCCCTCATCCTGACTTGGGATAATTGCATGTTGTAGTTACTGTTTATTACTGCCATCAGTTTTGTAATCCAGTGGAATGTGTGGTTTGGTTTTGCTTTTTTTTCCAAACAACACTGCAAGCTGATGCAGAGACATCTAAGAGACATTCTGGGCCATCTTTGGAAAAGAAAAGAACAACGGAGTTGGAAGGGATCTTGGAGGTCTTCTAGTCCAACCCCCTGCTCCATCAGGAGACCCTATACCAGGGGTAGGCAACCTTGGCTCTTTTATGACTCGTGGACTTCAACTCCCAGAATTCCTGAGCCAGCCATGCTGAGGAGAAAGGGAGAGGTTTCCAAGCTGAGCCATGCCGGCTCAGGAATTCTGGGAGTTGAAGTCCACAAGTCATGAAGGGGCCATAGTTTCCTCCATGCTGGCTCAGGAATTCTGGGAGTTGAAGTCCACAAGTCATGAAGGGGCCAAAGTTTCCCTCATGCCAGCTCAGGAATTCTGGGAGTTGAAGTCCACAAGTCATGAAGGGGCCACAGTTCCCCCATCCTGGCTCAGGAATTCTGGGAGTTGAAGTCCACAAGTCATGAAGGGGCCACAGTTCCCCCATCCTGGCCCAGGAATTCTGGGAGTTGAAGTCCACAAGTCATGAAGGGACCACAGTTCCCCCATGCTGGTTCCAGAATTCTGGGAGTTGAAGTCCACGAGTCATAAAAGAGCCAAGGTTGCCTACCCCTGCCCTATACCCTTCCAGACAAGTGGTTGTCCATTCTCTTCTCTACTACAAGCCTACTTCGTCCTCAGATAATTATTTGTGTTCTCTGTTCATCTGCTCAGCTGTAGCTTTGGTTCATCTTTGGTTAAATATGTTTATTTAACTATGTTATGACTTCATAGTTCAACTGTTCCTACTGCTGTTGCTACAACACATCTTGGCCGAAGTTAGAGCAAAGGGTAACTCAGCAGAAGACCGCTTCAGAAGTCTCTGTCGTCAACTTTCTGCTTCCAGACTACAATAATATATGTGGTGGCCTTCTGATCTCTTGAAACTCTGTTTCAAGTCCAGGCCTAGGCAGGGCCATCATTCAGATATTACAGAATTCAGCAGTTGTTTGTGGGTAGCATCATCCGATTGACACTGCAGGACCTCGGACAGCTCCATCATCCAGTTGACTCCAACAAGACATCCAGGAATGACACAGCAAGTACTGCTGGCTGGGCTGCTTACTTATGTGTTATGTCCGTTTATACAACATCTTTTCATCGAGGAAGCTAAGAGTCCTGACCAAAGCGGAATGGGACGACTCTCCAGAGCCAACTCACCAGGGCCAACTTGCTTCAGGACCATTCAGCAATTCAGTTTAATTATTTAAAATAATTTAAAAACTTATTTTAATTTTTGTCATTCACATTTCATTTTGTCCCTTCTTACGTTTCTCTTTTCCTTCCTTCCTTCCTTCCTTCCTTCCTTCCTTCCTTCCTTCCTTCCTTCCCATCCCATCCCATCCCATCCCATCCATCTATTCATCCTTCTCTTTTATCTTTTCCTCCTTCCCTCCCTCCTTCCTTTCTTCTCTCCTTCCTCCCTCCCTCCCCTCCTTCCTTCCTCCCTCCCTCCCTCCATCCATCCCATTCCCTTTTCTCTTTTCCTCCCTCCCTCCCCCCCTCTCTCTTCCTTCCTTTCTTCATTCATTCATTTGCTCCCTCCCTCCCTCCCTCCCTCCTGCTTGTTTTCTTGCTTCAGCCCATTTCAACCAATAAGGCAACTCTGGGTGGCCCAGAAACAGCAAAAATACAAATATAAAAACAATTAAAATTTGTAAAAGCTCTACAAAAAAAAAAACCTTACAAAATTTCTTTGCTACAAGAGCAGTTTTATCTAGCTAGGCCAGGCAACCTCTGTTGAACAGAAGATAAA